GCAGGTGCAGCACTTTGTGAACCTCCATGTGCAGATTTCGTGGCAGGCACAGCACTTTGTGCACCTCCATGTGCAGATTTCGTGACAGGCGCAGCACTTTGTGAACCTCCATGGGCAGATTTCGTGGCAGGCACAGCATCTGCGGAGCTGGAAGCTGAGAACTGGCGACTTTGTAGTGCAACTTTAGTACGCAGAGCAATCTGTAGAGCTGGAAGCTGAGAGCTGGCGACTTTCTAGTACAACTCTAGTACGCGGAGCAATCTGTAGAGCTGGAAGCTGAGAACTGGCGACTTTCTAGTACAACTCTAGTACGCGGAGCAATCTGTAGAGCTGGAAGCTGAGAATTGGCGACCTTCTAGTACAACTTTAGTATGTGGAGCAATCTGTAGAGCTGGAAGCTGAGAACTGGCGACTTTGTAGTACAACTTTAGTACGCGGAGTATCTGGCGAGCTGGACGATGAGAACTGGCCACTTTGTAGTACAAGTGTAGTACGCGGAGGAGTCATCTCTCGCTGCTGAGTCAGCTCTCGCTGCTGTGAGTCATCTCTCGCGACTGAGTCATCTCTCGCTGCTCAATAATTTCTCGCTGCTGAGTCAGCTCTCGCTATAGCCATCTCTCGCTGCTGAGTCATCTCTCGCGGCGTGCAGGTTTGGCACAGTTCATACTGATAGGATTTGGTTGCATTTATGCAGGACAGGACATTCAACTGCTGGTCAATACACCACTCATCATACACCACTCAGCATACACCACTCATCATACACCACTCGTCATACACCCCTCTTGTCGTGGCAAAGATACAACCCAGTACGCTGTTGCAAGCTGCTGATCCTGCAGGGGGCACACACCTTACACACGTGGAATCCCGTGGGTCAAAAGTCCGGAGCGCGTGCGTTTGACTGGAGGACGCGCATGTTGGAGAGAACGTGGACACTCCTATAGGTCAATTTGTTCTTATAGGAAACTTCCGCCGCCGGCTTGCCCGGGAACTACTTGTAATGTTTGGACGTTTGTGTGGGGCCGAAACAATCACCGCAGCTTGCAGCAACTGCTGCAGCCAGGCGCCAGTCGAGGCCAATGTGCCAGAAGCCTAGGCCTAGTCATTGGATGAACTCAGCAGAGGCAGTGTGTCCCTCAGGGCCTTGCTGCCTTGCCTAAGCGGTTTCTCATGCGTAGGCTCAGGGGAGGGGCTGCGTGTAAATCTCACAGCCCAAGGTGATCCGGACTCCCTGGTTGAAGAAACGTTATATATCTACAAATGCATTAATAGACGAAATATACCAGGACCCTCCAAAGGGTGTCCAATGGATTACCCCACACTACCTATAGGCTTCCATTGGGCACCCCTTAGAGGGTCCTGGTATGGAATACATTAGAAACCGATGAGAAGGCGGAATTGAACACCGTGATTTTTCTCAGTCTCGTGGCCCCTCCTGTCGACTTCCTCGCTTTTCAGGTGTGTGTTTCACTGGTGGATCCGTTTCAAACTGACACAGTTTGTGAGGTTGAAACTGGCTGATTTTGGCTTGGCGTGCAGCTTTCAGCCCGGAGAGGCGCCACCGGGCCTCTCCCAGGTTTCGTTCCGAGGGTTGGCCTGGGCGGAGGTCGGTCTGGGCGGTCTGGCTTCGAGTAGGTCTCGAAAGTAGTTCAGGTGTTGAGGCCGGGAGGTTTGGGGCATGCTGTAGCCGCACTCACCGAAAGCGCACCTGTTCGCTTCGACTTTATCCTGCCTTAGTTTGCCCCCAACACTGGCCGTTTGCGCCGAACATGCTGCACACGAACGTCCTGGGAGGTACTGAGCAGCAAAGTGGGCACCGTCTTGTACTGCTCACCGCAGGTGGGGTGCAAAGCCGGGTCAGACTCCCACTACGGTGGGGGCGGGGCCAGGGGACCCCACCGCAACAGTTCCTATACTCCTCCACAAGAGGTGCCTAACACAGTTGAATTCAGTGCACAACGTGGCTACCCACCACGTCCAACACCTTCTTTGTTTCTTTGGGCTTTGCAGATTCCATTGTTCCCCCGCGTGCCATTTCAACCGGCCTCGCGGCCATTTCTTTTTCCTCCTCACCGTCACCGGAACGCCCCGCCCTCAGCTCGCAGGTGCTGGGTGGCGTGTACGACAGCTCTGCAGACCTCTGGAGTTGTGGGGTGATCATGTATGCTCGGAGCGCCTGGCGAATCACTGCTGTGTCGGTCGAACTCACTGCGGGGTTCGGAGATGTGGGTGGTGGTGTCCCGAAACAACGGGAGGTGGAGAGTGACCGGACCATAGGACCCGTAGGACCCGTAGCCTGGGGTACCCAACTGGGATAGTCGAACAGAGCCCAGTTCGTCCACCTCTGCTTGGCCATCCCGAGCCCAGGAGCGTTTTTGTTTTTTGTTTTTGGGGTGGGTCGGCGCCCAGGTACTCCGTCCACTGATACCATTCCTGGTTGGGTGCTTGCTTCGCTTATATATAGATGTGGGACACGTCGCTTCAACCGTCATTTCAGCATGTTTCAGCAAGAGCGATGGAAGGCATGTCATGGACTTCAGACTGGGAGGTCATGATGAAAGAGTGGAGGTCCATTCGATATGACCCAGTTGGAGCTGTACAGTCATTTGGTGTTTTGATGAGTTCAACGGGATGTCCCAAGGCTGTATACACTTATATATATATATATACATACGTTATTACAAAACAAATATATATATATATATAAATAATATGTATAATATATATATATATTATATGTATATATAACAGTTGTATATATATAAGCTGTTTACACACACACACACACGCACTTATACATACATATATATATATATATCATGTCCAACACCCAAATGTTCGACCCAACATTTCCCTCCACGTCCGCTTAGATGCTCTTGGGTCACGAGTTGCCCTTCAGCGGCAAGAATGATGCGGAGGCACGTGTGGAAGTGTTCTACCACAGCTCCGGAATAGGATGCACCCCTCCGAAAAGCCAGGGAACAGGCCCCCACACAGCGTGCGTTTGCGACATGTGTTGTTTAAAAACACGTGTTGGTGTTAGTTTTGAAAGTCATTCGAGGCCAAGGGCGACGAAAGGTTATTTCCACGAGTTTCAAGGGAGGAAGACACTTCTTTCAACAGCGTGTTCGCATGATCTTCAAACGCGTGTGTGCATGTGGTATCATCTTCCAAGAATATCCAACACACTGTCACTGACCAGATCAAAATTCCCAAAGCGCAAGGGAATTCCGGTCCAAGCACACAACGAAGAAGACAGAGGTTTGCCCGTATTTGGTATAACCAACAGCTGTGATTCAAAATGCACATGTAAAGGTGCCAAGTTTCACGCCTATTGCGACACCGGACCAACTCTTCGTGGGACCAAAAGCGCGCGATGACTCGAAGGCGGCTCCGCTGGAGCTCCGATGAAGCTGAGCCATGCCACTGAAGCACTCGGCTCCCTTCAAGCACTGATCCGCCCCGTAGACCGAACAAACCTCTCATGGGGGGTTTCCCCATGGTGCCATTTGATGGTTCAATTCTCTTTTGGCTGTCAGGCCAAGCCATGTGTCAGGAAGCTTAGTTGGACGACTTTCTGACATCGCCGTGACGCTCTTGGGGCAGGGTTCCCACCTTGTTCACTGGCCAATCCCGAAAACCACCATCGTCCCCACCTTCCAGGTGGCCAAAAGCGTCCGCAAGGGCAACTACGCCTTCAGCGATCCCGTGTGGCTCTCCGTGCGACTTGGTTGCCCTTCGAGTCGCGACGACCTGGACGACCCACCACCCCCACGCCGGCACGCCGGTCCCAACGAAAGGAAGGAGCCCAAATCTGTTTGAGGAGTGTCCGGTCCAAACAGCCAAGTGGGGAGACCGTTGATTTTTTTGTCCTCCTCCTCATGTCTTGAAGCCATTTTTCTGTGGAATGCACAGGACAGTGTGCACGCTGATTGAATGGCTTGAAGGTGGAGACCTGGCAACCTTGGATTTGAAGATGCTACACATGGCCAGAGTCCTTGAACGGTCTATTCTTGCAGACGCAGACGCAGTAGAAAGATCTAGGACCAAAACACTTATACATCTTATACCCACACTCTTGGGAGGCGAATCTTGGCGATCTGCATTTTTGTATCACCCATGTCACCCTCATTTAGTCCCTGACTCCCAGGACGTGGAGTCAACATGAGTCAACCAAGGAAGTCGCCCTCGGAGTTATACTGTATAGTATATATTATATATGTATATATATATATATGCATATAAGTCATTTGTTCAAAGAAAGGCCACTTTCGAGTCCGAGATCCTCAAAACTGGCTTCCCCTGAAGGTGTCTGGCAAACAAGTAAACACCACCACATTTCTGCATCCGATTGGAGAATCCCAACTCCCACCCCCCAAAAGACAATCTACTATATAGCAGGGTGTGTTTTCGAACAGGGAGACGACCTCCCACTCCCAGTTTGGCCCCCTCTAGAAGGTTTGGGACCACCCTCCACCCCAGTTTGGCGTAGGTGGACCATGTCAGGAAGTCTATTTCTGTTCATTTTCCGTGGGAAAACCCAGGGTTGGCGCCACCCACAGCCACAGAATGCCGGACCTCAAATGGGAAGGGTTTGCGTCGGGTCCGGGCCCTTGGTCCGACTCCTGCCATTGAGGGACCAAGGATTCTTAGGGCAGTTGAAGACCATTAAAAACACTGGCCACACATACTTAGGCCACCTAAGTTGCTTGGACAATACCAGGGTCCTGCAATTGATTGGGAGAATATCCAGAATCCCGCACCCCCCCCAGAAAAACCAAGAACTAAAAGAAAAGTATAACATCCGAGTTGTTGGTGTTTTCTGGGGGTGCGGGAGGACCCGGTCCGAGTCCTTTTTCGGTCCGGTTCTCCTTGACTTCCGTCCGGTCCGCGGTCCGCACGGATCGGAATGCGTTCGGACGCTCGGAGTGGCGTGGCTGAGGTCCGAGGACGGCAAAGACCTCATCCGGAAGATGCTGAAGTTCCAGCCCTTCGATCGCGCCACCGCCTCACAGGCGGAAGCACAGACCGTCACAGACCTCGGAAACACCGGACCGTTGACGTGACCCTCCGTGACCCTTCCGGAAGGATAGGAAGGGGAGAAAAAACACAGCAGAATCCAAGGTAACAACAAACAGACCCAAGCTAATCCAAGCTACTACATGCTACCCCATATCAGAACTGGACACAAAAGATTTGATCTTCAGACCCTAGGAGCTAGCGGAAGAGCAGCATCATCTTGGGAGGCGGCATACGTATATGAAACACAGATGACAGGTCTCTTGAGAATCTGAGGTTAGGACTGAACTTCACCTTGAGCTCCATCCACTCAGGGAACCTTCGTGGATCTTTTTGCACCAAAACCTGCCTCCGCGGACGTTTGGCACCATCAGCGAACGACCGGGGTGGTCCGGGCTCCACTCGGCAGGCGCGGCAGCATGTGTGGTTCAGCTTTGCCGCCCCTGAGCTGCGGAGCGCTTGTGCATTGAGGGCCTCAGTGCTGTCAGTGGCTGGGAAGAATCGGGATGGAAGGGGGAGAAAGGACGCTACTAGGAGCAAAGGGCATCGCTACTAGGAGCAAGGACGCTACTAGGGGCTCCTGGCCTTACTACTAGGAACAAGGACGCTACTAGGAGCTTTTTCCCCGGTGGGAATGGGGTGAAGCTCCTGAGAGTGAAGGGATGCCGCATCATGGAAGATCCAGCACAACGGAGGAGTCTTCGCTCATCTTGGTTTTGGAGGGTAGTTGCTGGAAACCCGATCAAATGCGGACAAGACAACAGGAATTGAACCACAAAGTGGAGGCACGGAGCGGCCCTCTCTGACACCTGACTTTCTCTCAGCAAGGCCCACCTGGACAGATCAATTTTTAGATCCTCAGCCTAAGCCGAAGCGTTGATGAATAGGCCTGCTACAGGTGCCCAATTCACAACAATTACTCCCTGGTGCGGTTTCCAAACTGAACATGCAACAAAACATTGTTGTCTTGTAACACTGTTCCTGGAAGAGGTTCGATTCATCAGACCATTTCACCCGTGCGAAGCTTCACAGTGAATCAATTCAGGTACCAGTTCTGATGACACAGACCCCCAGTTCTGATAGATTTCAGTAAAACCCCCCATTGTAAATGTAAGTTGGACATCGTGCCACGGTCATCGTAAGGGGAGCCGACCACTCCGACCGACTGGGTGGGGCTCCTCGACACCTCGACACTCCGACCTCGAGGATTTGCTGCGCTTCTCGGCGCGGAGCGCCTTCCAGCGGGCGCGGGACCGCGGCGCCGCGGGGTCGGTGCAGAAGGGGGGCGAGTCACGTGAGGGGTGGGAAGGATAGCATTTGGAAGGCTGGAGACATATGATTGTAATATAGACATGTAGACGTTGGGCCTTCAGGTGCATGGATCACATATGGCAGTTGGATGCATGTGGTATATTTTGGACGAGTGTTTTGCAACAGCTACATATGATCTTACTGTTTGATACCTACATATGATCTTACTGTTTGATACCGTTTGGTTTGGCAAAGCTTTTTGGATTATTTCAGAACCTTAGCCAGTTTGGAAGGAGCCAATCTTTTCACCGCAGTCGGACATTTCACCAGCATGTCCAGGCTGCCTTGCGAGCGGTGGCGATGCAGCTGAGCCAGGAGGAGGTGGAGCCCTTGTGGCGCGACTTCTCAGCAGCTTGGCTGACGATCCCGACCGATCTTCGTGGGTTTTTCTTCATTCCGTTCATGCCATGGATTCTTTTTTTTTCTCAATCTTTTTTTGAACTGTTATTTTTTTTGTGGGCTGGAGTTGTGAAAGTGGAAGAATACTGTAAGGGTTTTTCGAAGCACAGGTCATCCTTGCAAATGTCCAGGGTGGTGAACGTTGATTGTTAATGAAGAGCACTGGAGGAGTTGCTCCTAGTTGTTTTGAATTTCGTGAGAGGCTGCCGGGTTCACTGCGTATCACTTGTCACTGTGTGCCGTTTTGGGACTGCAGGACGTTTCATGGGAAGGACCCTGGTGTCGAAGAAGTGGCCTTTCCCCCGACCAACTGTAATAGGAACGTGCATGCCAGGACCTTACTGATTTGCTTGTAGTGAAAATCTCTATGTCATATATTTCTATTTGTTTGGCATTTGTCCTTCCCTTTAAACTTGTTCTCTCTCCCTCTCTCTCTCTCTCGCTATTGGTGTCCATCCACCTCCTCTCGGTGGAAGAAAACCAACCTTTCCTTCTTAGGAAAGCTCAGAAAACCAATGAGACGTGGTTGAACTCACGGGCGTTTTCAAGCGTCGTCTTAAGATAAAGGAGGAGAGGTCTTCCCGTCACTTTCCCCAGTTTTCTTTGCACACTGAGCTGTGAAACCACATGAAACCATAACCCCCACCTCCATGGTTTTCCAAACGGTGTTCCTTGCAGCTCACGATCTTTCTCGCTGCGTGTTTCTTTCTCCTATTGGTTTTGGTACCATCGCCTCCCCCTTTGATTTTTTAAAACACTCTTCTCTTCTTCCACGCTCGTTTTGAGCGTCTTCACTTCGATCCGCGCTTTTTTCCCACCCTTTCGGTTGGCCCCCTGGGCGGCCCCCCCCCCCGATGCCAGGATCGCCAGCCCCATCGCCAGCCCAGTCGCCGCTCGCGGACTCGCCAGGCACTGGACGTGAAGGGCTGTGGCCTCGTAGGAGCTGCGGAGCTCCAGGAGCGTCCGGAGGGGACGTCCGGAGGGAACGAGCTGCGGACGCGGGAGTTTCGCAGCGCGTTTCGCCATGCGAAGCCTGCCTTGAAATTGAAGGTGCAGCGGAATCTGGCTCTGAGACAGAGAGTGGTTTGAAGATGAGCCATCAGCCATCAACTATTAGCTATTGACTTTTGGATCTCCTAGCTTCTCATCACTTCTCACTTCAGCTTGACAAGCTGCCATAGGCCATAGGCTTCTTCCTTTGATCGTTCTCATGCGGCCGAAGGAGTTGCTGCAATCTGGCACGCTCGATGCTGTTGAAGAAGACCTGTGGAAGGTTGGGGCGGAATTGGCCAAGATTGCTGGATTTTCACGAAAGCTTGCTGCCTGGGAATCCGATTCTTTCGGAATTGGGCAAGCCGCTGCTTTTTGCGGCGGATGGCCCACACCCAGCGGAATCATCATACGCTGAGCCCACTTGGATCGGCTGCGCAGCTGTTCTGACTCAAAGCCAGCCTCACGAGGCCAGTCTGGTGGTCTGACCCCAGACCCAAGACTTCAAGTGGATGGCTACAACGAAGGTTTAAGTGTGCCAATTGGATCCAATTGGGTTTAATACATCGTGGTGGAGTTCGGATCTGAAAGGGTTGATGGCTGATGGCCAAGGCTTTCTGCAGAACTGTAGGGTACCATTTTCATCATTGCCCGGCCTTCACCGCGCAGGAGCTGCAAGTAGCAGTCGTGTAGTCAGCCGGGTGCATTGTACACAATCAACCCTGGCTCTTTAGAGCAAACACAATAATAGATCCACCACACAGCAACCTACATATACACCTCTACCAGCAGCGAACTACTAACTGCTTGGAACCATGCTGCACTGCGGGGGGCAGACTTGTGGACCGCTTCTAGACATAAAACTAAGTCACTAAGAACCAAGAGAGGTTAAGTGACCTGAACTAGCACCCAACTGCGGTACCCAACTGGGATAGTCGAGTCTAAGTCGGGTTCTTCAACCTCTGGAATGGCAGCGTGGGGGGGGTGAGCTGAGCTGGTGACCACTGCTGACCACCTCATCGGGCATCTCGACTGTCCACGTCGACCTCTCCAGCCTCCGGCCATGACGTCCGCCGTTTGAGCGAGACCGGACGGTTCTCGCCTCAGAGAGTTGAGAGTTGGGACGGTTCTCGCCTCAAAGACACCGAAAAGACCTCAGTTTAAAGATTTCCACTGATGTCACTTTTTGTCATGACACCTTTTCACGATCGCAGAGCGCTCTTGAGCTGGTTCAAAAGTCCGTCCTACCGACTTTGGTAGCGGAGCCCCGGCCGTCCGGGGTTCCTGCTTTCGCCATTGGCCGCCTGGCGCCTTCGGCGCCGCCCGGCGCGATCCCGGGCCCGCTGCGCTGCCCGCGCTGCTTCGCTCTCGTCGCCGCCACGACGACGATCCTTTTTTGCTGTCTCACAAATTTGGCCATTTTGGTCCTGTGCATTTGTTCTTCGGCTCCGAGGGCACCTGTGAAAGCAGCCAATTTTGCGCCCGTGAAAGCCCCCGAGTACACGACCCTGGAGGTGATTGACCTGCACTCCATCTTCCTGAATCAGACGCTGACCATTGACATCTCCCTGAATTTGCAGGACTACCCGATTCAGGACACCTTCACGTACCGGGACTTTGCCCGTGATCTGTTCACGATGGCCCAGCCGCTCCTTGGCATACCTTTGGCTGAGTTTCGTCGCGACGTACCACCTGGTTGGGCTCCGAACCTTCCCGACTACAGCTTGAAGTCCTATTTCGACAAACTCCGCCTCTGGTATAGACTCTACCAAGGTCCCGACGAACAGGTAGGTCCTCTACTTGCAGGACGTCTTCAAGGACGAGCCCAAAAGATTGCCATGGGTCTCAAACTGGTTCGCCCTGACGGAACCTACGATGTGGGAGACAGTGCTCTCGTTCGGCTATCCACGGACGAAGTTCGAGACCCCATGGACCCGAACGTCATCCTGCAGCACGCAATCCCAAGTGGAGTTCAAGCTCTCGCGAACGCCCTCCGTGAGACCTTCGGTCAGTCTGACCAGGAGTTGGCTACCCACAGTTTGGAGCAATTCTTCCTCTTCAAACGGGGTAAGCTTTCGATGCACGAATATGCATCAGAATGGGAGCTTCGCTACGAGTCTGCTCAGCGCCACTCAGGCTTGGAGATCAACGACGTCGCCAAGAGCTTCCTATTTTTCCAAAGTTCTGGATTGCCCAACAAGTTCATTGAGGATGTCAAGATCCAGATCCAAGGCGACATGTCTCGTTTCGAGGAAGCTAAGCGCCTGACCTTGCGCCTGAGCAACCGGAGTGACCAGCATGCTCTGTCCCAGGACCTGTATACCGATCAGGCCGCCGAGTTCTTCTCCATGCCATCCTCGTCATGGAACACCATGGACTATGACACCTACTATGACGACTGGTCATGGCAAGATGACCCCTGGCAAGCCTATCCAGAAGTGGACCCCTGGACCGGCTATGCAGAGGATGAATGGTGGCAAGAAGATGATTCCTGGTCGCCTACGGCATCAGAATGGCACACCCCTGAGGAGTATGTCATCCATGACGACCAGCATGAGACAGAGCAAGCTGCTGAAGCCCCTGAGACCTACTATGAGGACGAGGACTACTACCAGCAGAAGAGTGGCTGTCATGTCTGTGGCAGTCGATGGCACATGGCCGCACAGTGTCCCGTCAGAGACAAAGGAAAAGGCGGCTATGGAGGAGGAAAATCCTCCTGGAGGCCAAAAGGCAAAGGCAAAGGAAAAGGAAAGAAAGGCAAGGGCAAAAGCAAGTCATTCAAGGGCAAAGGCAAGTTCAAAGGTGGCAATAAGGGCTACTTCAACGACATTGACTACAGTGCCCAACGAAGTCAACCTGAACAAGGACTTTCTCGGAGTCCTCCAGCTTCATCATCTTTTACCACTGAGGTGAAGCCCATCCATATGACACCACCGAGGATTGGAGAGTTGCTTCCTTGGCAAGAGAAGAAAGTGACCTTTGCCGAAGATCAAGAAGATGAAGAAGCTCCAGCTCCATCTGAGCCAGTTCGCAAGCAACTTGCTTTTGCCACCCATCTTCATGCAAGCTCTGAGGTCTACCACATGGTGAAAGGCATCAAACGCCGTGGTTTGCTGATTGACCCTGGTGCTGCCGCAGGTTTGGTTGGCAGCGAGACCCTTCGTGACCTACTAGCCAGCTGCTACCAGGACAAGCAGAAGGCAGTGACATGGTCTGCATCAGATGCCACTATTACCGGCATCTCAGGTCAGCCAGACAAAGCTCTTGGACGAGTTCATCTGAAGCTGCCTTTCAAGAACATGGAAGCCACCTACACCGCCGATGTCATTGGCAAAGAAGGTAGCCGCTGTCCCGCTCTGGTTGGCAACCCTGCTTTGTGCGCGATGTACGCCTCACTGCACTCACGATGGTTCACCAACGATGATGGACTTCTGGTTGCCTGGGACACCTCCAAAAGCGAGCATCCGCAGATGAACCTCTTCCGAGTTCTTTTCACTGACAGTGGTCACTACCTGCTGCCTTTGGATGAAGATGCTGGCATCTGCGATCAGCAACCTGAAGCCTTTCACTTCATCAAGCACCTCTCTGACGTCTCCCATCGTGCATGGCCAGATCATGCATACACCTTTTGGCAGAACGTGACTGCCCAAGGACCGGAACGTCAGTGGAGCACTCATGGGACACGAGTTCGATCTCTTCAAGATGATCACCCGCTGACTAGTCTCATGAGTGAGCAGAACAAGAACCACGACACTGATACTTCATGTTCCACGTCACCGATCAAGGACCACGACACATCAACATTACCTATCACATCATCCACCTCAGACATCACTTCCACTGGAGGAGTTGAGGCTGCAGACAATCTCTACCAATGTGATGACGCTCATAAGGAGCACAAGTGCGAATGTTGCCAAAGTCACAACACTCCAAGGTCCACGACACCTGAACAGGTCACATCATGTTCCACAACAGCCACCTCATGTTCCACAACACCTGGAGGAGTTGAGGCTGCAGACAAGGACTACCAAGAGAGGAAAGACAGTGTTGTGACATCTCAGCTGATGGCCACAAATCTGAGTGAACTGCCACTGTACGTTGATGAGTCTGTTCCACCTCACCTCTCACAAGAAGATCAGCAGAAGCTCAAGAAGGACTACAAGGCCATGCCAGAGGAGTTCTACCGCCACTCCAATCGCAGAGTCGTGACGCCAGACACCTTCCCTGCATGGTTCAAGGAGGCCAAGCGACATGGAGTCAAGTGGCAGATTTGGGAGCTCTTCTCCGGCTCTGGACGATTCTCTCTCCTGTGCACTTTGGCTGGTCTGATGGCTGGTTTTCCTGTCGACTTCCGCTATGGCTGGGACATTGGCAATCCAGCACATCAAGACATGCTTTGGAGCGCCTACACCACCTTCGAGCCTGAAGTGATCTTTGGCTCTCCTCGTTGCAAGTTCTGGAGCATAGCCGCATCGAGACGAGATCGACATCAACTTCTACAAGATCGAGAGAAGGACAGATCAGCTCTGGTCTTTCTTCAACGCCTGTATGCTGAACAGGTGAAGAAGTCTCGAGGCTACCTCCTGGAACAGCCATTGTCTTCAGCTATGTGGGAAGAGAGCGTGATGGCAGAGAATAAGAAGTTCCCTGGATGGCGAAAACATCGCCGCACGGATCAGTGTGCATTTGGAGCAGTTGATGAGCTTCGGAAGCCAGTGTTGAAAGCCACCGGCATTGAGGCGAACTTCAAGCTACGCCTCAGCCTTCGTCGATGCAATGGACACAATGGAATGCCCCATGCACCTCTACAAGGTCAACATCAAGGCAAGAATCGCACTGCTATGGCAGCTGTCTACCCGACTCGCTTCTGCAAGGCCCTTATCCAGGACATCATTCAATGGTTTCAGAAGCGCAACACTCTGCACATGCGTTTGGTTGACTCATGGACCTATCACCAAGTCCTCTACAAGTGCGAGCGTTGCAAGTTCGGCAGAGCTGCCACAGCTGATATGGAGCATTCATTCATTCCGGGAGAATGTCGTCATGGTCGCATGTTCAAGGAACCTTCAGCAGCTCCTTCGGCCGCCTCAAGTCCCACAGCTGACTTTCAACGAGGCATTCGAGCACATGGAGGCATGAGTCAGGTTGAGATACAAGTTCCTGACTCTATGGAGTTCACCGCTGAAGACAAGCTCTACCTGAAAGGCCTGCTGTGTCAATTGGTGAACGACTCCATGACCATCTTTGACGAAGTCACCGACGGCAACTACTCCCGATGGATTG